ATTTGAACATCTTGATTAACATCACTTTCTTGTAGAAATTTTTGAGTACAAATGTCGAATTCAGTTCTGTAATAAACAAATATTTTATTTTGACCAAATTACATAACATATTCATGCTTTTTAGACCAAACAAAACAGCGTTTAACATTGCGCTTTTTTTCTTCGAAGATCTTTATCAGGCCTTCATTATAAGTAAATATTATACTAAAACCCTATCTGAAAAAATTCATAAAACTTGAAAACCTTTTCCAAATTTAAAAACAATAATCATCGAAATCAGTTCAGATTTGACAGTGAAATAGAGTAACATGATCATTAAAAAAGAATTTCTTTTCTGAAGTAATTTGAGAAAAAAATAAATAAAATGCGTAACTAACCTGCAATAGAGTGTCTGCAATATTCCATGCTTAGTTCCAATTTTGTACAGGCCATCATTGTTTATTTCAAGAACAACGCCAATAACATTTCTTAGGTCGCCCCTTCCTCTGTCTACATCAGGAATCGGCACAGTCACATTATCTCCCACTTTAGCTGGTGGATGCGATTTGTCAGAAGCAGATTTCATTTTTTTTGCCTGTTTCTGAAGGTTTTCAGCAGCTGTTTGTCTTGCCTTTTGGATATCATCACCAATTTTAGAAGTTTCGATATCATTACAATCACTATCATCTCCTGAATTATTGTGATCATTTGTATGTCTATGGGTTAAATCAGTTTCAATAAGTTTTTGAACGTCATCTTCATCTTGAATATCCTTTATTATTTCTGGTGGTAGTGATGTCGTTGAAAGACCAACTCTGGGTTCAACTCCAAACATAGCTTTGTAAGGCGATTGTTTTATGCCCGAATGATAGGCCCTATTTTTCATAAATTGTACATATCTCAATCCTTCTGACCATTTAGTCGAGTGATTATCTTTTAGCCAACAACTGATCATGTTCTCGACGTCTTGGTTGGCTCTCTCGACAGAGCCCTGACTTTGGCTGTGCCGTGGTTTTCCATGCACTAGCTTAAGTTCTGGCCAAAGACTCGTCATTTCACATATAATACGATTGACGAATTCTCTTCCATTGTCTGACTGCAAAATACACGGGACACCTATTGTCAAAAATATATCATTCAAATGGTAGGCTACTTCTTCAGCTCGTTTAGATTCCAAAGCACGAAGCAAAATAAACTTGGTCAAGTGGTCTTGGTAGACCATGATAAATTTAAACTTTCCATCAGGTTGAGTCTGAAAATCAATGAGATCCACTTGGCACCTACTGTTCATTTCAGAATGTAAAATTGGCTTAGAAACTAAACCTCTTTTTTTTTTTTTTTTTTTTTTTTGAATATGTTTCAAATATTTTTATAACCATTTTTATTATTTTTAATATTTGTAAACATTTTTTAAAAATAAACTTTTTATTTGAGAGGAAGTTGTAGAAAATTGTTGCTGAAATCGGATAAGTACGTGTTCACTTGATTATAAATAACATATTTTAATGAATACAATTAAAATAAATTACTCAGCAAAAACTTTTAAGGAATTGTTTTAATCAGTTATTACAGAGATATTTCAAGCTTAGTTTCCTTGTATAAAAAATTTATATATGTTATTCAAATATATTATATTTATATATTAATAATAATTATAATTTATTGTTAATATTGTTTATTTTAGTAGTAACTAAATTTTTTGATTTAGTGTAAAGTGTATTAAGACATATATTAAAGATCTTTAATTCAAAACTGTTAACGTTTAAGTATATAAAACAATTTGTAATCTTTTTTTTCTTTGTTTGATGGCTCTTTTTATTTTTTAATATTTGAAGACAAGTTCACCCAAATAGGGATCACCATTTTTTACTTTTGCATTCTAGACAGTACATTTCCGGCAACTGACCTTCCTTTCTAGGCTACTAGCCGCCAAAAAGTTTAAAAAAGTCCTTTTAAAAACACAAATAGATTTCCAATTAAAAACACAAAGATTTTCTAAAATCAGAACTGGTGTTATACGAACGTCTTTCTTGTTACCATCTGTATTTTCTTGGGGGTATTTCGGCCTTTTATCCACAGATAATTATGACTATAAAATATTGTCACCAGGGGGAACCTTTTTAATCTACATTTTCTAGTGCTCTCTTCTCTGTGGATAAAAGGCCGAATACCCCTGAGAAAGTACAGATGGTAACAAGAAAGACATTTGTATAACACCAGTTCTGATTTTAGAAAATCTTTGTGTTTTTAATTGGAAGTCTTTTTGTGTTTTTAAAAGGATTTTTTTTAAGCTTTTTGGTGGCTAGTAGCCTAGAAAGGAAGGTCAGTTGCCGGAAATGTACTGTCCAGAACGCAAAAGTAAAAAATGGTGATCCCTATTTGGGTGAACTTGTCTTCAAATATTAAAAAATATATAAAACAACCCCAAACCCTATTAGATATGTAGACAAACGATCACTTTAAATACTCTGGCTATAATTCTTAAATATACTTAAAAACTCTAGCCCCACTCTGGGCTAGAGTTTTCTTCCAGATGATTCTAAATTATTTAATAAATTATTTAAATTATAATTATTAACTTATATAAGAGATGACACTTAATGTCTACCTCTAGTAGCAAATTGCTTAGTATTAATTATTAAAAATAGCAGTTTTATATTGAGTATTTAAGGTGTTCATTTTGCTATGTATCTGTTAACATTTCCCAATTGAGTAGTAGTTTTTTCATTATAATAAAACAATTTTTTTTTGAGTAATAATATATTATTGTTAACTCAAAAAAAAAATCCTTACTATTATAATAATGTGCAATTTTTTAGAATTAAACAAAATGTATTAACTAATTAAATTAATAATTTCTAACAATGTCGTAAGTACAAAACAATTTAATTTTAAGGAAACATTAGTTTTCCCTATTTCATGAATGATTAATATCTATAGATATAAATTCAATCTATGCTATTTCTGTTCTGATGATAACACAATCAATTTACATGTTGAATAATAAACTTTATTTGTATTTCACTATATTCCGCTCTGCGTAAAGAATAAATGAAAATCAATGAATATTTACGATAGCCTAAAATATTGAAATGTAATGTTTGTTTTAGTATCAAAATCAATGCAGTTTTATTTTGCAGACCTATAAATTTTTACTGCCATCCATTCTTTATTAATCTTGAGAATGGAGTTATTAGATAAATTGAGAAATATTGAAATGAGATAAATTTAGGGGCTGGATGCCCCAATTAATTTTTAAATTAAAATGTTATTAAAAATTGTAGCCTTAGCATTGTGACAACAATCACAATAAATTAAGATTTTTTGAGATTTTTCTTTTACTGACACTATTTAATGTCACTGTATTAACGTTAATTTTAGTGACTTAAATAATTTTATCATGAAAACGTTGATGCATTTTCATTACATATAAAGAATTTTGCGTAACCCAAAGATTGGAGCACGACTTTCTTTTTTTTATATACATTTTCATTTGCTAATTTTTTTTAATCATGTCTGTATTTTATCTTATTACAAATTATAACTTTCAAAAAACAATTTTCTTTGATCTCGGTTTTATTTTCAATTTAAATTAAAGTCCTTTTTTAAAGGAAGAATCTTAAACACTATCTTGCCACATTAATGTATGTAAGTTTTATGAATAACAAAAGTACTTGAAGATATATATATATATATATCTAGTTTTATTAATCTCATATCATCACATGGTGATTTTTAAAGTTAGCTAATTGCATTTTTCTATGAGTGTTGGAAAGCAAAATCATGTTTATCAATTGATGTATGCAAAAAATCAATAAAGACTAAAGGTACGAAGTCGAATAGAAATTTCCAACAAAGATTTTCAGTAAAATATGATTGAAATATCTTTTATCAGTACACTTGTTTTTTTTTTTATAAAAGAAAAAAAAAGATTTAAAAGAAAGATTAAAACCAAAAACATCAAACAAATATATTTTCAATAAATGTCAACGTTAAGTTTATTTAGTTAAAAAGTAAGTTAAAAGACGTTTTATATGATTAAAGTTTCAAATAAAATTTTCGGAAGCTTATTTATTTTTGAAGTTTGCCGGTAAGAGTTTTAGAAAAATCTATTTTTATTTTGATTCAGACAAAATGTAATTTCCTAAAGTAAGACTATCTTATATTTTCCAAAGTATATTTTCAGTATTTCTGAAAATGAAAAGTGCAGTTTATAATATGTAATCAGTAAAATTTAATTTTATGTACATGTGAAGCTGTTAATGCAGTAAAGTTTTTCTTGTTTAACATATTTTGATGTTTAGGAAAATAATAATTTTGTTAAAAGTAATCTACATATTTACATATGTCACTCTAAAATTCGTACGAACTTAAATAAATTAAAAAGTAATATGTGCTGTACGATACGTGCCATGGATTTAATTGTAAAGCTTAAGTTTGGAACCTTTTAATTTTTGTTGATGGTAATTTTAGTCCATTTAATATAGTAGAAATCATTCAGTAAATTCAGCTTTAGTTTTTTTTTTTTTTAGTTTATTCCATTATAAAATATTTTTGGCAAATAATATAAAACACATGAAAAACCATTAATATTTTTATTTTTCAACTTTCTTATTGTTAACAAAATGTTATAATGTATTCCAGACTTGTAGAGTTTCATTTAATCCGGGTAAACGTCATTACGTATCTAATTCTGAGATTTCATTACTACTAGTTACATATTGTAAAATGTACAAAATGCTTTGAGCATGATATGATATATATATATATATTATATTTAATTAAATTTAATTATTTTGCCATATGGGAAATTAATGATAATTAAAGCAAAAATAAAACATTTATCATTTTCTGACAGATTACAGTGTTAATTGAATGTAATTTATTTTGTACAACAGATGTTTAGTTCTAATTATGTTAATACAAATGCTTTGTATCAATGTCTATAATTTTGTAAAGAATTAAAGTTGTGAAGAAACTTGATTCTTGGATAAATTAAAGAATATTGAGTTACCAAATACAATTAAAAATTATTTTAAAATTGATGATGATTAAATTAGAAAAGTAAAAATTGTAATACTCCTTTACATTTTTTTCTAATTAGGCAATTAAAATTTCAGGTCTCATTTGTGAATAACGATTCTAAAAAGTTTCACATGATGATGGAATAAATTGAAAAAAATAAAATAAAATGATAAAAGTTGTAATTGTAAGAATGCTAACACAAAGGATCAAATTTAATTACTTGAAAAAACTAGAGTGAAATTTTTTTGATAGCATTTAGATTTAATTTAAATGATTTGAAAAATATATTATTTTCTTGCTGATTTCTTATACAAAAAGTTGTTTCTTCTTTTTTTTTTTTTATATTGATAATGTCGTACAGCAATTTTATAATTTAATTACGACAGTTAAACATTATATTATACTGTAAATTTTTATTTAAGAATAATAATTTGAGGTTTAATATTTTTATACAAATTGATATGATGTAATTTTTTGTGGAAAGAGTAGGCAGTCTCGAGGAAAAAAAAAAATTTAAGTTGAAATAAAACACCCACAGCTTGTTAGCATAATACATCAAACTTCAAACAGAATTATTTCTACTTAAAGTTATCAGATTCCAAATTTATGAATCTGATAACTTCAGAAAAGTTTAAAAAAAAATGTATGACGAACGTCTTGTAAAGTTCAACGAATTTAAGAATTTTTTAAAACTTTGTAAAAATCCTTTATTGAAATTAAAAAGAACTTTTTCAGATGGATAATTCAATACTTCTGTTTGCATTCTTTATTAATTTAAAGTATTTGTTATTTATTTCATCAAATAATAATAATAATTCTACAGTTTATTGTTATCCTGTTTAGTCTTTTGTGGAATTTTTATTAAACTTATAAGAAAAGTAACTTCCATGAAATGTATTTAATGTGTTACATGATAAAGTTAAAAATTGTAGATTTTAATTAGTGTTTATTATACTGAACTGAAAAATTATCATTCTTTCTATAATTGGATACTTAAAACCTTTCATTTCTATTATAAATGTTAACTAATAAATACTTTGAAAAGATAAACCTAATGCAGATTTCCTTAGGTGGTTTGCTCTAGCCATTTTGGGCCTTCTCTCTCACCATTTAGCAGTGTTGTTGTGGGCCTGGCTGATTCACGATAGCTCTTTTCACAACTCTTCTTGAAGGCCAGAAAGAGTTTAGAAAGAAGGGACCTATCTAATCTTATTATTTATTACAGGAAATAATTAACTGTTGATAATGAAATAATTTATA